CATATTATTATAATTAATATTACTTTTTATAAATCTAAATTTTTCTATTTAATTTTTAAATAAAAAAATTTAACATAATGCATTTTTTAAAGCATATACCTAACTAAAATTTTTTAAAAAAATTGTATGAATATTATTTTATCTAAATGAGTTGAAAATTAAAAAATAAAAAATAAAAGCATTCGGCCTGAGTAAAGCAACGTCCACATGGGACCGCCTGCCGGTGCTGACGTGTCAACCGTTCAAAAAAATATTTTTTATCACTGTGACGTACTTTTGACTCTAACTGGGCAAATTCGATAATTGGTGGCAGCCATATCCAAGAAAAATGTTTATTTATTTATTTTTTTAATTTTGTCTTAAAGTAGTACCGATACGGGGATTGACGGATGGAGATTGAAGCTGCCAATATTTAAATCCTAAACGTGGCGATTTGCCACGATGGTGGTTGCAAAAGGAAGGGTTATGTTGCAGTAACAAGAGTAACTACTAATCAATAATTTGTTGGTCTGAGTAAAAAGGGTTCGGTTCCATTTAAGTTATATTTTGAGTTTGAGTCTTATGAATGGAAAAATAGATATTGGGAGAGCTTCCTCTCATATGGGGTCCGACCCGGCTCAATTCCGGATTAGTCACGGCTCAATTCCGGATTAGTCAAGGCCCAATGTGATTTCTGAATACCGAAAGGTTAATACAAAAAAAATAAGAGTAACTAATATTAATATAGTGTTGATCTGAATAAAAAAAATAATTTTTAAAATAATATTTTAAATTTAAATTTTATAAATAAAAAATAAATATTAAAATGTATTTTTATAAAATTTGATATGATTTAATTTTAAATTAATTAAAATTTAATATAATTATTAAATAACAAAGAGAATAATAATAATAAAAAAAAAAAGAGGTAGCTAGTAAGTGGAGCGAAGAAGTATAACCACTTTCGATGTAAAAGCCGAGTGCAAACGACGAAGCTGAGGTAGCATCCATCTCAGCAAAAATGCTCTGATAACATAACGTTAAAAAGTGGGCCCCTATGTTAGATTCCCGATTCCCTATCCTGAACCTAACTTCCCTTATTGTCTTATCTGCTGGTTTCTCAAACCAAATTCTCCCCTTTTCTTTCAAGCATCTCTACTGCAAGGAGATAAATTCAGAGTCTATTTGGTGTATGAAAAATGATTTTTTTTTTTACAAGAAATATGTTTTTTTTAAAATTACTTTTTATTATTTAAAACACTTTAAAAACTATTTCACCAAATATATTTATTTTGAAACATTTTAAAAAATATTTTTTATTGCTTGAAAAATAATGAAAATTTCTTAAA